GAGATATATAGGCTCAAAGTGGACGATCCGGGTGTCGTTCTATTAGAGGTTTTACGGTAGTTGAATTCTCTAGAAAGAAAGTGAACATTATATACATTTTTTAAACTGGGGTAGCTATCAGTCTTGAGTTTCTTCTCTGGGACTCAAAAATTGCCATGTTCCATCGATCCATCGATCCACTGGTCACAATTTTCATCTGGTTTTCCGCTGTTGGATCGGATGAATGCATCTGAAAATGAAACTTGAACTCAGGTTCTAAAATTAAAAAATCTCACCTTATTTTTATAAAAAAGATAGTTTTTCAGAAAAAACAAAGTCCAGAACGAAGGTTCGGAATATCAGAATCTTGAAGAAAATCAATGAATTGAGACGTCCATTCGGTTAAGTCGTCTTGAAAAAAGTATGAATAGTTTTTGAGGGAGAAGAAGCGCTTTATATACTTTCTTCTGCGTCTCTTGGAGTTTTAGTACGGCATTTGATTCGTGGCACTGAATGATAAATGTGGGGACGGGTATAAGAGATAGGGTTAATGGATGGAAAAAAAAAATGAGTCGCCTCTTCAGCGGGGACTCCCCCCATGTGAGATTGATAGTGAGAGACGCAGAAATGATATTTTCGGAGGGTCGGAATTCAGTAAAATTTACGTTAAGACAAGGGAAAACTAGATTTTCAGATTTAGCTCAGCAAGAAGATTTGATTGAGTATAAACATGAACTATTTCAGATAACTAATTAGTTTTCTTTTTCAGGCTACAACCGTATTTTCTAAGCTATTACTTTTGAGCTCAATTATCTCGATTCCTGTGAAAGCTATTGAAAATGTTCCAACTAATAAAATATTAGTGATATAATGATAAACAATTTATTAGTTGACAAATTTATGATATCTTTTGCAGTAAACGAGATAATTGAGCTCAAAGTTAGCAGGCTAGAAAATACGATAACATCCAAGATGATTCTAAAAAAGAAAACAAATTACTATTTGAAATGGTTCATATTTATACTCATTCAAATTTCCTTGCTCAGATCAATTCGAAAATATAAGCTTCACTTGTCTTAACTCAAATTTAACTATGCTACGACCCTTTGAAATTATCACTCTGTGTCTCTCAAGCTGACATGTGGATGTCGCTCATTATGACTTCTTGTTGAAGATTTATGACGTTTTTCGGATCGTCGACCCTTATTCTATATTTCTGGGTTCTCAATTTCTGAACTTCAGAACTAGCTGTACAGAAATAAGTCTCATCGATTAGTATGCATAATATGTGTTTTTTTCGTGATATTTATTTCACTCTTTACAATAGAAATAAGATTTTTATTCAACAATGAAAGTTAAACGGACCAATACTGTTGTGCGTCTTCAAGGTGACTCTGCAGACGTCGGCTACGGTACTCTGCAAGATTCAGTTTTGTTTAAACTATGTTATTTTAGAATACCGTATTTCCTCTAATTGAACTACTTCTGTTAGAGGATGCGCTTCTATGTTTTTAAGCACATCAGAGGGTGAGCTTCAAATAGAGGTGGGTTTCTATTAGAGGAAATACGGTAGATACCTTGACAGTAAAAATGCTTGCGATTGCTCAGATCAATTTAATCATATTGGAGAATTGCGAAATTCAACTTTTTGGAATCTTCCACCTCTTTGCAGAATTATTCGACAAATTCATCTTTGAAGCGTTGTTCAACCAAAACAACAAAAGATTTTTTCTGAAACTTTTCTTTAAATTTTAATTTCCCAATTAAAAAAAAATCTCACCTTATTTCGCAAATTGTAGAAAAATCAAAAACCAAAACTTCGAAATCCATTCAGTTAGGTTTTCTTGATATTTTGGTTAGGAATACTTGAATTTTAAAGAAAATCAATAAATTGAGACGTCCATTCTGTTAGGTCGTCCGGAGGAAACAACGAGTAGTTTTTGGGAGCAGCAGGGCTTTTCACACTTTTTCTGGGTCTCTTGGGGTTTTAGTACTCTCTCAGCTTTTGAAGCTTGGCATTGAATGATAAGAAGTAAAAAAAAATGAACCGCCGAGGGACTCCCACATGTCAGATTGAGAGACGCAGAATGATACTTTTAAAGGATCGCAGCTTAGTTAATTTTGAATGAAACCAAACGAAAGTTAGAGTTTCAGATTTAGCTCAGCAAGGAGATTCGAATAAGTATAAACATGAACTATTTTAGATTGTAAATAATCTTCTTGGCTATTACCATAACTGCCAACTTTGGGATCAATTACCTAGATTCCTGTGAGAAAAATCAAAAATTTGTCAACTAATAAATTGTTTGCGATATCATGATAAATAATTTATCAGTGGACCACTTTTTGATAGCTTTCACAGGAATCGAGATAATTGAGCGCAAAGTTGATGGTCTGGGTGGGCTTAAAATACGGTAATTATCTTGGTTATTTTAAGAGATATCAAAACCAGAATTTTTGTACCATTTACTCAGAGGAAAGATACGTCGGATTGGAGGATTCTTTCGATGTTATTCGGAACCTCAAACTTGGGTAATTAAACCTTTATTTAAGAGAGAAGATATGGGAAAAATAAACAAAAACATTAAACACCAATTAAGTTATGGTCACTCTCTTGTTGGACAATAGCGGACGTGTGTCACGAACTTACGTGTTAGAACCATCAACAGTGAATGGCGGACCGAGTTCAATTATAAGACTTCTGCTTCAGCCCCACGACCAGACGTTGCTGTTGTGTAATGATCCTGGTAGACTTCTGGAGCGGGTATACCTTCGGAGTGGCTGGAGCTAGAGCGGGTGTTGGTGTCCCATCAATTGGTTCCATCAGGTCCAATGGAACATCGAAATGGATTGGCTTGTCACGTCGACGGAGTCGGTTTGCGTGTCGAATCCATACAGTATCCTTGACGATCACACGATACAGAGTCTGTCCAATGCGTTTTAGAAAGTATTTTTGTACAAGGAAGATGCTGCAAAAGCCCGTCCGAGATACCTATTTTCATATTTTATGGCACATAACAAATACGGAGAGAGTACTAAAACCCCGATAGATGCAGAAAAAGTATATAAAGCCATTATTTTCGCTCCGAAAACCATTCATACTTCTTTCATGACGACCTAACAGAATGGACGTCTCAATTTATTGATTTTCTTTAAAATTCAAGTATTCCTAACCAAAATATCAAGAAAACCTAACTGAATGGATTTCGAAGTTTTGGTTTTTGATTTTTCTACAATTTGCGAAATAAGGTGAGATTTTTTTTTAATTGGGAAATTAAAATTTAAAGAAAAGTTTCAGAAAAAATCTTTTGTTGTTTTGGTTGAACAACGCTTCAAAGATGAATTTGTCGAATAATTCTGCAAAGAGGTGGAAGATTCCAAAAAGTTGAATTTCGCAATTCTCCAATATGATTAAATTGATCTGAGCAATCGCAAGCATTTTTACTGTCAAGGTATCTACCGTATTTCCTCTAATAGAAACCCACCTCTATTTGAAGCCCACCCTCTGACGTGCTTAAAAACATAAAAGCGCATCCTCTAACAGAAGTACGTTCAGTTCAGTTAGTGCAGTTTGAACAGTTCAGTTTGTCTATTCGGTTATTGTAGACATTTTCTTTCTATTTCAAAAATTTTCTGGTAATTTCAGTTTTTGGTAATCTCCTAAAAAGGAGGTAGAAAAATAGAAGACCATGGGCTTCAATTAGAGGAAATACGGTATTCTAAAATAACATAGTTTAAACAAAACTGAATCTTGCAGAGTACCGTAGCCGACGTCTGCAGAGTCACCTTGAAGACGCACAACAGTATTGGTCCGTTTAACTTTCATTGTTGAATAAAAATCTTATTTCTATTGTAAAGAGTGAAATAAATATCACGAAAAAAACACATATTATGCATACTAATCGATGAGACTTATTTCTGTACAGCTAGTTCTGAAGTTCAGAAATTGAGAACCCAGAAATATAGAATAAGGGTCGACGATCCGAAAAACGTCATAAATCTTCAACAAGAAGTCATAATGAGCGACATCCACATGTCAGCTTGAGAGACACAGAGTGATAATTTCAAAGGGTCGTAGCATAGTTAAATTTGAGTTAAGACAAGTGAAGCTTATATTTTCGAATTGATCTGAGCAAGGAAATTTGAATGAGTATAAATATGAACCATTTCAGATAGTAATTTGTTTTCTTTTTTAGAATCATCTTGGATGTTATCGTATGTAGAGAGTTCGTTTTTAGTGCGTTTTGAAGGAAATTTTTATTATTTTCAGAATATTTTGTTTTTATTTAAAAAATTAAAAAATGAAATCGTTTTTGCTGTAGGAAAGTGTATTTTCACAGAATGAACAACTTGTATAGGATAAACGTTTGAAAAAGGAACATTTCAAAAACAGAAAATTGCGAAACGGGAGGGACCCTTTGACCCGATCGTTCGGACCGGAATCGTTTAATTTAGTATATTTTTTTATGGACCCTTTCTTTTTGGACCCTTTGTTCAATTTTCCCGCTAGATTTGATCTAGAAAATCGATTTAAATTCAAAGTTTCAATAAATTCAGTCTGAAATTGTGCAAAAATTCAAATTTCGACAAAAAACGTCTACGACAATTGTTCTTTTTTGATTTATTTCTGTTTCATTCCAATCCAAAAACAGTATACGTTTTTTCGTAGTTTAATCACCGTGAAAAAGTTCCAACTAATAAAATATTAGTGATATAATGATAAACAATTTATTAATAGTGTGGTGGGGGGCTCCTAGAAGAAAATTGCTGTTTCAAAATTTGAGTCAAAACGATTTTAGAAAATTTTGATTTTGGTGAACAACATGGTTTCTTTGTAAAAAAAATTGCAGAATACTGGGGTATTCTAATTAGAACGGTCTAAAAATTTGGCGAGATTTCGAACTGCAAGTTACCTTTGTACAGTGAAGCGCGGTTTCCAAACCATTTTGAGCCGAGTTATAGCTATTTGAATTTTCAAGGTGAGAGACGCAGAGACTCTCGTTTCTCTGCGTTTCTCATTGCGTAGGAATTGTTTGTGATATCAAAAACGTTGCGTAGGAATACTCCATTAACACTAAAGTTTCCCTTGGCAATAGTAGATCTGAGGTCATTGTGAATTTTCAAGATGACTTCTTGAGCAGTTTCAGATAACTGAGCTCTGGCAAATCCTAGGAAGCTGCTAAATCCTAGGATAGAGAGAATACAGAAAGCCAACAACATTATTTTGAATGAAATTAGGGTTGATTAGTTGTTATGATTATTTTGATAAAGAACATCTTACCTGTCCACGAGAGAAATTGTTTCCCTATATTATGAAGTCTGTTTAAGGATGTTTCTTGTCTCTGTCACACTGAGTTCTTTTAGAACATCTACCGTTTCAAATTATTTCCATTTTTAGAATATGGTTTCTTATATAATAAGTAACTGAATCGCCGTGGTGCTAATGTCATCTAGAAATTTTCATTTTTTCGATCAGAATAATATTTTCAAATAGAGCGTTTATTGATTAAGGGAACAAAATTAAAAACAGAAATACAAGTCCCTGATCCCATTTCTGAATTTATACATTTTTTCACTAGCTAGCTTAAAACTAGCTTGAGCTTAGCTAGCTCAAAAACCTAGCCAGCTCAAAAGCTTAGCTAGCTCAAAAGCTAGTTAGCTCAAAAGCTAGTTAGCTTCAAACTCTCTACTAACCATTTTACGCATGTTGGATGCTGCTGGTAGGAGTCCTCTACTAGTACTATAGGTTCCTTTAGCAATAGAGGATCTGAGGTCATTGTGAGATTTCAAGATGGCTTCTGCAGTAGTGTTTTTCAACTGAGCACTGGCACATCCGAAGATGACAAGAATACAGGATAATAAGCTTCATTTTTCAGGATGAAATTTGGGATGATTTCTTATGCTCTCATGTTTCCTTTTATAGTGAACATTTTGGGATCTTATCAGTAAAAAAACAAAAATACCCATCATAAAGGTTTAACGCATAACAACTTAACAATTTGGTTTTGCCGTCTAACCAAGAAGTGCAACCAAATTGACAGGCAATAACAGTGACGAAAGTGTTTTCCCTCCTTGTCCTCTTTAGATTCCATTATCACACTCCTTATCAATAAACGTCAAAATAACAAAGGCCTGAAGTCAAAACATGTTAATGCTCTCGTCATTGTAATTTCTGGTCAACTTTGAACTTCTTTTTTGTTTTGAACGTTAAACATTCCTTAATGTATTGTCTTCACTCTCTTCATTAAAAAAATCAGGATCAGTCCCACATATAATTATAATCAATGAAACTCGTTCTTTGTATTCTCTTCATCCTTAGATGTGCCAGTGCTCAGTTCAATGAATTTGCTCAAGGAAATATCCTTAAAATCCACAATGNCCTCAGATCCTCTATTGCTAAAGGAACCTATAGTACTAGTAGAGGACTCCTATCAGCAGCATGCGTTAAACCTTTATGATGGTATTTTGTTTTTTTTTACTGATAAGAGCCCAAAATGCTCACTATAAAAGGAAACATGAGAGCATAAGAAATCATCCCAAATTTCATCCTGAAAAATGAAGCTTATTATCTGTATTCTTGTCATCTTCGGATGTGCCAGTGCTCAGTTGAAAAACATTACTGCAGAAGCCATCTTGAAATCTCACAATGACTTCAGATCCTCTATTGCTAAAGGAACCTATAGTACTAGTAGAGGACTCCTACCAGCAGCATCCAACATGCGTAAAATGGTTAGTAGAGAGTTTGAAGCTAACTAGCTTTTGAGCTAGCTAAGCTTTTGAGCTAGCTAGGTTTTTGAGCTAGCCAAGCTTTTGAGCTAGCTAGGTTTTTGAGCTAGCCAAGCTTTTGAGCTAGCTAGGTTTTTGAGCTAGCCAAGCTTTTGAGCTAGCTAGGTTTTTGAGCTAGCCAAGCTTTTGAGCTAGCTAAGCTCAAGCTAGTTTTAAGCTAGCTAGTGAAAAAAATGTATAAATTCAGAAATGGGATACAGGGACTTGCCACCACTATTCAAGACTTCGTGAACGGGTGTCCAATAACCAAATTTCCAACACATTTCGGGCAAAATGTGCACACGGAATCCACTATATTCTCAAACATTTCTGATGCCGAGGTGAGTTACAAAATAGAATTTTGTAATTTTCATTTGTAATTTATCAGGCATTATCCGCCGCGAAAAATTGGGAGAGCCAGTTCATTTCCTTTGGTTTGTCTTCTATTCAGTTCAATGAAGCCATCTAAGAGAGGCTGCTACTCAGATGGCATGGGCTGACACCGAATTCATTGGATGTGGTGCGAAGAAATGTGAAAGCCCTTTTCTGCCGGGCATGGATGTGTTGTTCGAGTTTCGAATGGCTTGCCTTTATAAAGAAAAGTAAGCGGTTTTGACTTGAAATTTTGAAAATCGCAAACTGATTTATTTTCAGGGGAAACATTTTGAATTCGAACATTTATCAACAAGGAAAGGCCTGCTCTTCCTGCCCTTCTGGATTCAAGTGCGAGGGTGATTCTGGATTGTGTGTCAGAAATTAACAATTATGTTTTTAATTTTTTTCCCTTAATCAATAAACGCTCTATTTGAAAATATTATTCTGATCGAAAAAATGAAAATTTCTAGATGACATTAGCACCACGGCGATTCAGTTACTTATTATATAAGAAACCATATTCTAAAAATGGAAATAATTTGAAACGGTTTGCAACTGAACTTCTGAATTACTGAATTTCTGAATTTCGGAATTTCTGAATTTCTGAATTTCGGAATTTCTGAATTTTTGAATTTTTGAATTTCTGAATTTCTGAATTTCTGAATTTCTGAATTTCTGAATTTCTGAATTTCTGAATTTCGGAATTTCTGAATTTCTGAATTTCTGATTCTCTGAATTTCTGAATTTCTGAATTTCTGATTCTCTGAATTTCTGAATTTCCAGAAATTTCTGAATTTCCTGGAATTTTTGAATTTCTGTATTTCTGAATTTCTGAATCTCTGAATTTCTGAATTTCTGAATTTCTGAATTTCGGAATTTCTGAATTTCTCTATTTCTGAATTTCTG